TTCCATCACATATATGTACCACATCCTCTTTATCCATTCATCTGAATTTAGGTTGTTTCCATGTCTTGCGTATGCACAGTTTCTGTCTGCTTCCATATAGAAATGGACAATAGCCAGGTCATATATAAAAAGAGAAGTCTGGCCCAAAACCTGCAGCAACCAGCCCAGGACACCAATCTATCATGTACAGTAGCCAGCCCGGGACACCTGCTGGGTAAGTTAGACTTGTAGGAAGTCAGACCACTATCTCCAGGAACCAGCCCAGAAAGTCAAACAATAACCCCATAACCATCGACCTCAAAGGACCAGGATCTGGTTAATCACGGACAGCTTCCCTCATTTTTGTCCCTGCTTCCAACTTAGTACTGAAGAAAGCCAAATACACTCAAAAACGGTTAAAATGGTAAATTTTATGTTCTGTATATTTTATCATGACTGAAAAAAAAAAGTGACTTAGAGCCAGAGCTGGGAAGCTGGGTGAGGGGCGGGGCTGAGGGGAGAAGTGAGGGGCACACGGGGCCGGTACTGTGGTTAGGAAATGGCAGGCCAGGTGTATGGGGGTGCAAGGGCCACGGAGGGCAGGATGGTGGTAGGGTCAAGGCATCCGGCCTCCCACAGGCTCATCCTCAGGCACTGGGAGTTGGTAACCGGGTGAAGGAGGCCTTTCGCCATCCTGCCCTGCACTGTAGGAAGGGGGTGAATGGAGCCAGCACAGCCAGGTCAGGGGTGGGGGGGTGGGGGGGCTCTCTGGATGTCCAGTCCCATGGAGGAAACAAATCCCAGAGTTCCCGGCACCTCCCACTCCCCTCCTTTTTCACAGCCGTTATGTTCTAGAAATTCACAAGTTCATCAGTGAATTCCAAATCGCTGCTCCTAGGGGAAATACAAGGTGGGGTTCCTGTGAGCTTCCGGTCACAACATTTTCATCAAGTGATCAGCATACAACCTTGTGTGATGGGTGTTTCTGTTTAAAGAAACCTTGTGTGATATACACTGATAATTCATTAACACTGAACTCACGGCCACCAGCACTATTACTCGTGCCGGAACGAAGCTCACCTGACACACGCATTTTCTCCGTAAGGCTGTCACAGCCTCTTGAGCTTGGCAACACCAGATGGCTCTTAGCCCTAGGCTTGGGGCCCTTTTTTTTTTTTTTTTTGACTGCGTTGGGTCTTCGTTGTTGCACGCGGGCTCTCTCTAGCTGCGGTGAGCGGTGGCCACTCTTCGTGGCGGTGCGCGGGCTTCTCACAGCAGTGGCCTCTCCTGCCGCTCAGCACAGGCCCTAGGTACACGGGCCTCAGCAGTTGTGGCACGTGGGCTCAGTCGTTGTGGCACACTGGCTCAGCTGCTCCGCGGCACGTGGGATCTTCCTGGACCAGGGCTCGAACCCACGTCCTCTGCATTGGCAGGCGGATTCCCAACCACTGCACCACCAGGGAAGCCACCTTTATTTTCGGGGGGGCCCATTTTAAACAGCAAAGTCACCACGAAAAAGCACCAAAATGTGAAATAAATAAATAAACCAGCCACGAGAAGGACCCTTGTTTATAGCAGGGACTGAAACAAGTGGCCTTGTTTGACAGCAGCTGGGAATGTATTGGGCAACTCCGATTTTTTGGCTGCTCTGCAGACGTCCATGAATGGCCGAAAACGAGCTGTGAGTATTAATTTGGAGTTACAAATACGCTTCAGCGAGTAGGCGAGTTTGCAAATAGACAACCCATAAACAATGAGGAGCGCTGAGCATTTGTTTATATTCCGAGCTGGTCTCTCATGCTCGGCACCTTCTCTTTGGTCTCCCGGCCAGGGGTCTGGCCATTTCCTATTCCACAAGATGAATAATCCTAGGACCATCCTCTTGAAGACTTACAGGCCAGGCAGACCTACCCCTGATATTTCCAAGTGTCGTGGGGTTGACCCATGGTCCCAGTTTGTCTGGGACCAAAAGTTTTCCCAGGATGTAGGACTTTCAATGCCCAAACCAGAAGAGTCCCTGGCAAACTGAGCCGACTTGGACACTATCTATATGTGAAAATGATCTAAAAGTTTGAAATCTCAATTATTTAATATGGCTGAAAGTTGAAACCTTATTAAATACTTTTATCAAGATAAAATCAGTTGCAATTCTACTGTCCCATACCCACCTAGCTGCCAAAGTAAAAATGTATCAAGTTTCACGCGTTACGGCCAGGCCTGTGAATATACCAGCTTAAGAGCACCATGAACTGCTTAATGCTGCAGAGTGTTCCTCAGTCTTCAGGTACAGCTATGGCCAAAACATCCCTTGTTATATCACAAGTACCATGAATTAGAGCACGAAGGGCAGCAAGAAAATGGACACTTGCTATTTCTGGGTAACGCCACCCTGTGTCCTGCGACCTAATTGCCTCCAGGCTATCAGATGGAAATTTGATCCTTCATTCCTAAATGCTTCGGCTGCCAGTAAAGTTCTGAGTCCTGTGAGCTGTTCTAGCAAATCATAAGGGGGGAGTTGTGGGGACCCCCGACGTTGGCGTCGACTCAGACAGAAGTGTGGGTACCTCGGGGACCCGATTTGCCCCTGGCGTCTGAAGCGGGGCCAGTCTTGTGGGACCGAGGCCTTCACCCGTGGGGTCTGTGCTAACTCTGGGTAGCAAGTGTCAGAACTGAACAGAACGACGGACACCCAGCTGGTGTTTCTGAGAGTCGTAGAAGTGGTGTTGGAAAAGTTATTGACATAATGGGTGTCAGAAGCATGGTGGGTAAAAACAGCTTACCCTGGGCTTCCCTGGTGGCGCAGTGGTTGAGAGTCCGCCTGCCATTGCGGGGGACACGGGTTCGTGCCCCGGTCCGGGAAGATCCCACGTGCCGCGGAGCGGCTGGGCCCGTGAGCCATGGCCGCCGAGCCTGCACGTCCGGAGCCTGTGCTCCGCAACGGGAGAGGCCACAACAGTGAGAGGCCCGCGTATCGCAAAAAAAAAAACAAAAAAAACCCCGCTTACCCTGGGGACTTCCTTGGCGGTCCAGTGGTTAAGACTCCGCGCTCCCACTGCAGGAGGTGCGGGTTCGATCCCTGGCCGGGGAACTAATATCCCGCGTGCCGTACAGCATGGCCTCCGCAAAAAAACAGCTTACCCTCACACGGTTACTTTCTCCCAATGGACCAGATAAGGAAACTAAGCTAAGAGGTAAATGATGCCTGCAAGGCCTAACTAACTCTGCTAATGAGTGGAGAAGCCAGCATTTGTGTTCAGCCGTCTAATGTCAAAGCTCACAGACCCAGCCACAGCCTGCCCCGAGGGAGTACTGGGACATGGAACCCCTGCCCAGTCCTTTCTTCTCTTTGTTTGGGCAAAGGGCGAGTCCACTTGCTGTCAACATGCAGCCACGAAGAGGAGGTCACTCCTCAGCCCTGCTCCTTTCTCACCTACATCTGGGTCACGCCAGGGAGGACAGATTTCCCAGGCGGCCTGCCATAAATGTGTGTCTGTGGATAGGAAGAGAATACAAATGCCAGTGGCTGGCGGCAGGATGACTCATCCGGGGCCTGCGAGCACAGCCTCTGATTCCCGCCCCGAGCCTGGCCTTCCTGTCATTAGTCCTAAGGGTAGTCATGCAACGCAGGAGGGCTGGCAGGTGCAGGATGAAGGGGTCCCAGGTAAGGGGAGGAGGTGCGAGATTGTGGCCACAGCTGACCCTGACAACAGGCTCAGTTTTCCCACCCAGAAATCTCATTTCTGTCCCAGCCCTGAGTCTAGGGTGGGTGTGGAGGGCAGTCAGCCGAGACAGGCCTGTGAGTGCTGCCCCCCCGCTGCCCAGCAAAGCCAGCATGGTCAGGGACAGACAGAGGGACCAGCCCTTTCCTTGCTCTGGGCCTCAATCTATGAAGTGTCTGTGTGATGTCGCTGTTGGCTCAGGTGGTCACTAGGGCCTGCAGCATCCACGCCCTGGGATTCCGGTCCATAGATGGGAGACAGAATGACCTACCCTGGGGGTCTGCAGTCCCTGAGGCAGCCCAGCCTCAGCCTCTGCCCTGATCCTGGGCCCCCTGACACCTCCAGGCACAGGCTCAGCCCAAGCAGGGGATGCCTCAGACTTGGGAAGCTGTGTGGGTGGGAGGGTCATGCATAACCCCTGTGTCCAGGGGCCTCACAGGTGACATTTTGAATCCTGGCAGCATCTCTACCCGTCGTTTTACAGAGGACACGGGGTGGGAGGTGGGGCCTGATCCCAAAGCCCACACTCTGCACTCCATGTGGGCCTTGGTGGAGAAGGGAGGGGGCTTCTCTGTCCACAAAACAGAGGGTAGGATGGCCCAGTAACCTGGGTTGCTGGCTGTGCAACTCTGGGCAAAAGCCTAAGCTCCCTGTGTGGGCTGCTCTGGAAATGCTCCGTGCAGTGTGGACACAGCGGTCAAGGGGACCCTAGACACTTCCTAAGGGCACCAGGAATCACCCAGGCCTGAGCCTCCTGAACTCCCATGGTCCTGCACTGCCCACCCCACCTCCCAGCACCAAGCACCTGTTATTCACAGTTTTTACTTAGAAGTGAAACTTTGAAAGGGAAGCTTCGTGTCATTATCATTAAATGAAAAATCTCTACCGCTTGCCGTGAACTGAAGACATCATACAAAACCCTGCAGGAAATCAGACATGAAATTCTATTTAGATGCTGGTGTCTGCTGAAGGCTCGCTGACTCGTAAAAAGGGAAATGATAAAGCGCCAAAAAGATATCAACAACCTAAGTGGGCCACTGTTAGTTTCTCCCTGGTTTAAGGGATGAAAAGGAACGGAAAGGGAGCTGTTTCTCTCCACGACACCCACTGTTATTGGAGCGTCGGAAACCTCTCTCCACCCTCACGCGGGCACGGGTCCTCCCCTCTCCTCTGCCCGGGTCCAGGCCCTCCCAGCCCTCCGCCGCCCGCGTGCTGCCCCAGCATTGGGCGGCCCACCGGCTACCTCGCCTGGTCCGAGCGGGGGCGGGGCCGGCCGGGTGACGTCACGCCGGGAATGCCTGGGGTGAGTGCACCCGGGCCGGCTGAGAGCCAGAGTGGGCGCCGGGCGGAGACGCGGCGCTCTCGGACCCCGGACGCCCGACCCGCCGCCGCTATGTACGACCCCGAGCGCGGCTGGAGCCTGTCCTTCGCCGGCTGCGGCTTCCTGGGCATCTACCACATCGGGGTGACCCGCTGCCTGAGCGAGCGCGCCCCGCACCTCCTGCGCGACGCGCGCAGGTTCTTCGGGGCCTCGGCCGGGGCGCTGCACTGCGCCTTCTTACTCTCTGGGGTCCCGCTGGGTAGGTCCGGGCCGCCGCGGGGCTCCGCGCGGGGAGGGGGCGCGCGGTGGAGCCGGGATTGGAAACGGAAACTGCGGGGTACACCCGGGGTCTCCCCAGACAGATGCCTCCTCCAGTGCATCTTTTTGCCCCGCACCGGGGAGCTCCGTGGCCGGGCCTGGGAGGGGGGCGCGCCGGGTGAGCGGCTCTTCTGGGTGTGGGAACCCGGAGCGCCTCCTCGCCTCGACACCCTTTTGGCGCCCGGGCTTGAAGAAAGCCCCCCCAGACCCAGCCTGGGACTGAGAGCCAGGTTGTCTCAGAGCGACGGGGAGGAGGGAGCGCGACGCCTGGGGTGGGGGGGCGGGGGGCGGGGGGGGGGGGGTCGGAGGCCCGATTTGCCCTGCTTCCGGCCAGGCCAGGAAGGAGGTTTTGGCCTGTGGCCCAGGGTGGCTTCCTTCTTCTCTCTGGGGACCAGAGGGACTGGAGACCCCCGGCCCCGAGCGCCTTTGATCTCCGCCCAGCTCTCGTGGGAGCTGTGGGGGCGGCTGGGTGCCTCTCAGGTAGAGGGCAACTTGCTGGTTTGGATTGAAAGAGGGTTGGGGAGAGGTGTTTTGTGGAGGGGGGGAGACGGGGGTGAGGGGAGGTAGGAAAGTTGTCTCTTCCTTTTCCAGTGTTTGAGACCCTTCTTGGGGGCTGGACATCCCACATCCCCTCCTCTTCTCGCCACCACACCCCTGCTCAGTGCCCTGGAAACGAGGTCCTGTGCATTTGAATCTTGTTCTAGTGAAGCATCTCTGTAATCGTGGGTACCAGTGGGAGGGGCGGACTGGGGCTTGTGGCCAGCTGGCCTAAATCACTAGGGTATGACATCCTTGGCCTGGGATCCTAGCCAGGGAGCAGGGCCTGGAGCAAGTGGCAGCACGGAGCTGTTGGCATCCAGAGGCCCCCAGACAGGAAGGTAATGCACCTTTTCATTAGCCCCTGTTTGTCTGGGCTTCCTTAACGGTTTACTCTTTACTCTACCCAGGGACTGCTGTGTCGGACACTGGCAGCAGGAATCCCTTGCTAGTAAGCACGGCCCTGCCATTGGATAGGATCAGGGAGCAGACCCTGGGCTGATGGAGAGGTGGAGATTAGGAGAGGCCACCGTGGCCGCCTTCCCCATCGAGGGGGAGAGGAGCAAAGGGCAGGAAATGTGACCTCAAGGAGGATCAGACTGGCCACCTTGGGCTTGAGCCAGCCCTTGTGTCCCAGAGTTGTGACCTGGAGACAGCCACATGGTCAAATGTTTAATTGGGACCAGATTCAAATGCACAGACGCCAGCACGTGAAGTGCCCTGACTCCAGCGTAGAGGGCGTTCCTGTCAGGCAGAGGACAGGTGCGGCCTGGGGTTGTGTCCTGCGGGGGCTGGCTCGGGACCACCAAGTCCCTGGAAGGTGAATCTAGAGGTCCTGGCAAGAACTGCTCCGGAGGTTCTGGGAGCCCCAGCTTCCTGCTTTAACTGCCTGTCTCACTTGGGGACCGCCGGGGAGCATTTCCCAGGGCCTGTGACTTGGGCATGGCTCCTGAGAGCGCCTCCAAACCCAGGCTGACTTGGCAGGAGAGACTGGCAGAACCAGCCAGCTGTGTGCAATTTTGTGCCTTCTGCCGGGGCTCAGTGGGGCCACATGTGCAGGGAGAGCTGAGTGGAGGTCGGAAGCAGGTCAGGACCTGCTGATGTGTGTCCGGCCTTCTGCATCCCAGGATCTATGGATGACTAGGGCTTGGGCTGGGACAGGTACTCTGTCCAGGGCAGTGCAGACCAGCCAGAGGGGGCCAGGCCAGTGAGTGAGGTCAGTTGGAGCATGCACGTGCCCTGTGCCCACTGGATGGTCTGGTAATTGGGACATTAGAGGTTAAAAGTGAAGTCTAGTTGTTTATTAGGTGCTTCATCTGGGTTGAGCACCTATAGTTTGTAGTGTATCTAATCTTCTCTATTTCCAAAAGGTAGCTGAGTGTGGTCCCACGTTAAAAACATGCAGTCTGAGACTCAGAGAGGCAGTGAAGTGGCTTAGTTTAGCGGCTCAGCTAGTAAGAGGTGGAGGCAGGATTCAAACTCAGGTCCAAGGCTGTGCTTGCTGTCTGCTCCCTTCAGTGTTAGGCCCATTCGTGCTCAAGGTCCGACGCTGTGAGTGCCTGGCTTCTGGCCTTGACGGAGGGATGGAGGTGAGGAGAGGGTTCACGGGGCCTCTGGAGGCTCGTTCCTGTGGCCAGGGAGGGCCTAGAGCACTAACTTACAGAAATAGGCAATCTTACATTTCCTAGTAGCCGCATGGAAAAAGTAAAAGACATAAGTGAAATTAATTTTATTTATCCCAGTCCAGCGAAAATATTATCATTTTCACATCTAATCAATATAAGACATTATTCATGAGATATTTTACATTTTGTTGTTGTTCTTGTTGCTCTAAGCCTTTGAGATCCAGTGTGCCTTTTACCCAGCTCAGTTTGGGCTAGCCGCATCTCAGGCCCGGGAGCCACACGTGGCTGCCGGATCGGACAGCGCAGGCCTAGAGAAAGGGAAAGGTCAGCAGCTTCCCTGCTGCCAGGTTTCTGGTCCTGCCACAAAGCATTCCCATCTCCAGGGTGGTACATTCCTTTGTATACTTGTCTCTCTCCGTCCAGAGCAGACATTGCAGGCCCTCGTGGACCTTGTCCGGAGCGCCAGGAGTCGGAACATTGGCGTCCTCCACCCGACCTTCAGTTTGAACAAGCACGTCCGAGATGGTCTCCAGAGACACCTCCCAGACAACGTCCACCAGCTCATCTCGGGCAAAATCGTCATCTCGCTCACCAGAGTGGCCGATGGAGAAAATGTGCTGGTGTCTGATTTTCGGTCCAAAGACGAAGTCGTGGACGTAAGCAGTTTGCTTATCTGGGTGTTGTCAAGTCATAAAGACCATTTCATTTCAGAAGCAACAAAGAGAGGGCTGTCGTAAGCCGCCTGACCCGTTCTTTTCTTAAGATGCAAAAGAACCTGGTTGCCCACGATGCTGGCTGTAGCTTCCTGTACCAGGGTGATACGAACTCTGAGTGCATCCAGCGGTCTGGTCCAGAGCATATGCAAAACTGGAGTGTTCCAGGACACTTTCAGTTTCAAATAACCCCTCCCCATCCTTCAAGGCTTGGCTTATGACCTTTTGCTCCAGGGACCTCATCCCACATGTGTCCCTCCTCCCAGTGATGCCTGTTCCTTAATGAGGACCCCTCCAGCGAAGTCCCACAAGGGTGGGAGTGTGTCTTATTTGCCTCTAGCACAGAGAAGCTCATTGGCAATATGAAACTACCACTTAGTTTGGCTGAGGCCTTTTATGAGAACTGCTTGGATATCATTTCACTTAACACAGGTCCCTACGAGCACGCAGCCTGGCACATATAACCAGCAGCTTCTCAGCAGCCAGTGTCATCTTCCACTTAACCTTGTTTGTGGAGGCTTTCTCTAGGCAGCCAGCACCTGTGCGTTCCCACGTGAGCCCTTTCTCTCACTGCATCAGTGTTACATCCGGCTTGATGCTCGCTAGCATGGCGCGACTCAAAGCGTGGGCCCCGGACCAGCAGTCGCAGCAGCGGCATCGCCTGGGAGCTTGTTAGAATTGCCGGCTCTCAGGCCCCGCCTCCAAGCTGCAGCATCAGAGCCTTAGGGGTGGGGCACCGAGTCTGTGGTTCGCCAAGCTCTCCAGGCGATTCTGATGAACCTCAGCGTTTGCAAAGCCCTGATCTAGCGCCTTCCCTGTCAATCAGCTAGTCACCAACTCTTGGTTCTGTCTCTGATGGCCCAGTGTGACCCTCGTGGGGAGCAGGGGCAAGAAGCTACAGTCTGCAGATGGTGTCGTTAGAGAATTGGTACTTGGGCCTGCAATAATAAGTGTGTAGGTTGGTTCATGTTCGTTCAACCATTTATTAAAGCACCTCCTCTGTGCCAGGAGTGTTTTCAGGCTTGTTGCTCTCCTAGCTTGGAGAAGGCTTATAAAGACCCAGGGGAACAAAAGGCAGCCTGCTCTGGGCTGTGGTTTCACTCCCTTTTGTCTCCACAGGCCTTGTCTTGTTCCTCCTTCGTGCCTTTCGTCAGTGGCTTGATCCCCCCCTCCTTCAGAGGCGTGGTAAGTCCGCTTTTAAACTGTGTTTGAGGGAATTCCCTGGTGGTCCAGTGGTTAGGACACCTCACTTTCACTGCCAAGGGCCCGGGTTCGATCCCTGGTCGGGGAACTAAGATCCC